ATGAGGAGTTGGATGATAAAAACATATAAGGATGAGCATACTTGCAGTTTTAGTTGGAGAAACAAGAGAGTTAAAGCTACAATAGTGGCTAGGCATTTTATTAAAACCAGGGGTTATTTTGCATTGACTTTTTCTCATCCCAATATCCAACAAGGTATGCATGAAAAACTACATCTTGAGATTGCTATTAGTCACACTTGGAGAGCAAAGCAGCTCATTATTAAGGAATTTCAAGGTGATTGCAAGAAGGAATATAGTAAGTTATTTGATTATAAATGAGAAATATTGAAAAGAAATCCAACAAGCACAATTGAGATTTATGTAGAAAGGCCTACACTCGATTCGAATCTTGTTTTCATAAGGTTTTATGTATGTTTTGCTGCCTTGAGAGAAGATTTTTTAATTGGGTGCAGACCTATTATTGGTCTTGATGGAGCTTTCCTCAAAGGTCCAACCAAGGGACAATTGCTATCAGGAGTAGCTAGAGATCCAAATAACTAAATGTATCCAGTAGCTTGGGCTATAATAGAATGTGAAATAACAGATAGCTGGACATGGTTTCTACAACTTCCGAGGGCTGACTTGATGATAGGTGATGGAGAACATTTCACATTTTTGTTTGATCAGCAAAATGTATGTGAAATTATTTTGTTTTTTCTATAATTTGTTCCACAAAAAATTTATTTCTTGTTTTTTAATTTGGAAAAAGGGTCTAATTAATGCAATCCCTAGAGCTACACAAAAGAAATATGCTAAGCATATATATGCAAATTTTAGGAAGCATCACAAGGGTAAGCAATTACAAAAACGGTTCTAGATCACTGCTAAATCAATTGTTGTTGCAGAATTCAGGAGAAATATAGAAGAAATTAATAAGTTGAACACTACAGCAAAAGAGTACCTGATGCAATATGATCCAAAGTACTAGTGCAAGGCATTCTTTGATACTCATTGCAAATGTGATGCTGTTGATAACAATATGTGTGAAACCTTCAATGGATTTATTCTTGATGCAAGGCAAAAGGCTGCTACGTCTTTGTTAGAGGACTTAAGGTGGAAGTGCTCAAAAAGAATCATAGCAAAACAGGCCTTTGTAAACAAAAGTTTTGTTGGAGAATTTGGTCCAAAATTTTGGGAAAAGATTAAAGAGCATAAGGCTGCAATATCTAGGTGCCATATGTTATCTCGAGCCCTTGTGGAATATGAGATCAAAGAAAGAAATGACTCATTTTTGGTCAATGTTCATGACCATACATGCACTTGTAGGGTATGGCAACTCAATGACATTCCTTGTAGACATGCCATGCTTGCCATCCAACATTGAGAGGAAAACTTTGAAGACTATGTGCACCATTGCTATAGAAGACAAGCATACATTAACACATACAAGCACTGCATAATTCCTCCAGATGGCATGGAAAGATGGGAAGAAACAAGCATGCCTCCACTTGATCCAACAATGGAAATGAAGACAACAGGTAGACCTAAAAAGAAAAGGCATTTAGAAGATTAGAAAATTTCTAATGGATCTAACATTAGTAGAAAGGGTAGGGTCATGACCTACCGAGTATGCTTCAAACAAGGCCACAATTCCAGAACTTGTCCATCCAAAAAGCCAAAAAATGTAAGTGTAATCTCATTTAAATAATATAAATTTACTTAAGATTATTTGTTTCCTAACAGTTTTAGATAACTAAAGTTGAGTTTTTTATTTAAACTATAGGTTGAAGAGTCATCATCCACTCAAGCAAATGTTGTGAATAACATTCCCATAACAATTGAGATGCATATTGGAGATGCATATTGGAGATGCATATTGGAGATGCAAGAGTTGTTAGAGGTGTTGAAATGCAACTTCAACCAAAAAATCAACAAGTTGCTAGATTTAACTGCAAATTCAACCAAAAAAGGAACTACTTGTTGTTGATGATGAACTGCAACTTCATGTAGAAAATCAACTACTTGCTGTTGATGTTCAACTACAACTATAACTTCAACCAGAAAATCAACTAGTTGCTACTGATGTTCAATTGCATAATCAACTAGAAAATCAGCTACTTGCTGTTGATGTACAAGATCAAACTAGTAATGTCAATTCAAATCTAATGGGAATTCAACAAGCAAAAAAAGGAAGGAAAAAGGATGCCAACAATTCTATCCAGTGTCCACCTGAGCTGCCACAAGAGTTCAGACGAAAATGTCAACACAAAAGAAAGGCAAAACCCATAATTAAAGAACCAGTTGTTAAATCTGGGAGTGGCACAATTAATATTGAAGTCAATGAAGGTACAAGTCATGGTCATCAAGTGCTGGTGCATGGTAAGGGGAAAGCTGTCCATAGGAACAAAGGGAAAGCCATTCAAACTACCAAAAAGGTGATTTCTCATTTTAAATTATGTTCATCATAACATAAGTTTTCATTTTTTATATTTATATTGCTACTTTAATATCGATAAATTAATTTCAAGTGAAAGAAAGTCATAAGAAAAGGACCAGATTTGAAGGATATGGGGCCTATTTCAACATAGAAATTGAATTGTGTATTTTAGATGTAAGATTTAAATCTTGTTACAAATTAATTCATTTTTTTGTTATATTTATTTGATGTGGTACTACGTCTTTTCATTTCTATGTATTTTCATTTATGTGCTCTTTTTTCTACTGTTCATTAGCCTAGACAAAAAAGTAGAAGAACCCTCTCAGTGCCAAGGAAAAAACCAAAAGTTTCTACAAAGGCTCTTATGGACTCCACTGTTCACGCCCCAACTTCAAATTTGCATGAGTTCTTCAATATTGAAAGTGTCTCAATCCAAAAGGCAATGAGGAACTCTCAACCCCAACTA